GCAGTGGGGGCCGTGGGGTGGGACCGAGGGGCAGTGTGGCCCTGTGGGGCAGGGATGAGGAGCAGTGGGGGCCGTGGGGTGGGACCGAGGGGCAGTGTGGCCCTGTGGGGCAGGGCTGAGGAGCAGTGGGGGGCCGTGGGGTGGGACCGAGGGGCAGTGTGGCCCTGTGGGGCAGGGCTGAGGAGCAGTGGGCGGCACCGTGGGGCGGGACTGAGCAGCCGCAGGGCGCCGTGGGGCAGGCACACGGGACGGACAAGATCTCACAGGACAGCGAAGGACCCACACATGGGCTCTGCCCCAGTGCAGCAGGTGGGGGTCGGAGGGGGGAGCCGCCGCCACCACCGCCTCTGTCCCTCCCTGGCCTCCGTGACTCACCCCAGCCCCAGCCCCGTCACGCCAGGCGGATGCCGCCCAGACGACCCCCCCCCCGCCCCCAACCCCACGGCCCCATCTGCTTCCAGCTCTCTCCGCCCCCGGGCACCGGAGCGGAGCAGGGGGGCGGTGGGTGACAGACATGGGGCACGTGGACGGGGAGTGCCCCCGCTCTGGGCCCCAGAGGGAGGTGACGCACATGGCTCGGGGGGGCGGGACGGAGCGGAGCTAAAAGCGGCTGCGGCTGGGGGGCTAAGTTTGGGACCGGGGCAGGAAGTGGGCGGGGCGGACGTACGCTCCCAAGGGAGACCCTGGCGGGACGGCTGCTGCCCGGCACACGCCAGTGACATGCGACACCGCCATGCGTGGACACGCTAACAACACAGACATGCCAACCAGTGACGAGGACATGTAAACATGCCAATGACACATCATGTACTCGAGGCCCCCAGACTCTGCCACCTACTCACGCCCCGGGCACTCTCATTTTCACATGCGTGCGTGAGCTCCTTGGGCACGGCGGCACACTTGTGCGCTGCATGTTTACACACGTGATCGTGCCGTGCCCAGCTGTGCACACGTGCTCGGCACATTCACACGCGCCTTCCTCTCTCCCTATATTCCCCCCACGCCGTTGCCGTCATGGCCCATCCTGCGCTGTGGGGATTTCGGGGCTGGCCCATGACGCGTGTGCGAGCAGAGAGGAATCGTGCAGCACGACGCCCGTGTCAGACATGCTTGCTCCGCCCCCCTCCTCATGACAGTTTATTCACATCCCCTCTGGCCGGTGGCAGGCTGCCAGAGCTGGGGGGGCACGACAGGGGGCGAGGGTGTGAATGGGGGAGTCAAGGGGGGGGTGGGCCCACAGGAAAACACTTCCTGTGCAAACAGCTGGACACACACACACATCCCAGCAGGGGGCAGCGCCGGACACACAAACACACACACACGAGCTGGGGGCAGCGCTGCGTGGACACACATAAACAAACACTCACACCAGCAGTTGGCAGCGCTATGCGCGTGCACACACACACACACACCTGCGTGAACACACACACACCCCAGCAGTTGGCAGCGCTGTGTGCACATACCCCTGCGTGAACACACACACATGCACACACACCAGCAGGGGACAGTGCTGGATACACACACACACAAACTCCAACAGGGGGCAGCACTGCATGGATACACACACACACACTAGCAGTTGGCAGAACTGTGTGCACACATACACACACACACCCTTGTGTGAACGCACAAACATAGACACACACACACCAACAGGGGGCAGCATTGGACACACACATACACACACACTCACACAAACTAGCTGGGGCAGCGCTGCATGAACACACACACACACACCAGTAGGGGGCAGCTCTGCGTCAACACACACACACACACACACACGCTGGGGACAGCACTGTGTGAACACACACACACACACACACACACACCAGCGGGGACAGCACTGCGTACACACACACACACACACACCAGCGTGGGGGCAGCACTATGTGAACACACTCACACCAGCAGGGGGCAATGATGCATGAACACACAGACACACAAACCAGTAGGGGGCAGCGCTGCACGCACACACATATGCACCAGTAGGGGGCAGCGCTACGTATACACACACACACACCAGCTGGGGACAGCGCTGTGTGAACATACACAAATACACACCAGCAGG